TATTGTTGTGTGTACGACAACAAGTTACAGCCGCATACCATCCGATCACCAATCAACGAACCCGATCTGTAATATCTTTTTGACCGACTGAAAATCAATCGACATTTTACCACAAAACACAGTGCATTCGAACCACGTCGCCGTTCTAGTTCGCCTGGACCGCAACTCAAGTGTGCTACACAGTACAGTGTCCTCAAAATCCGCCAACGCCCACAGACTGTTTCAAACCTATCGGTTATGGTCAGCCAGTCACTTGCTACAGTTCTCAGCTTACTCCGATATTGCCAGCAATTAGTTGCTTTTTTTTTTTTTGAAACTCCCTATTATTATTCATTATCTTCTTTATTAATTGTCAGTAATGAACATTTTTATGCAATTGTAGGTGTAGTTTTTAGAAACTTATAAATAAAATTAATCGGTATATTTTATCAAGGGGATATAGTATACTGCGAGTGTTGTAATTCTAATTTGTTGGATGAAACGTAATAATTGTACTGTTGTTAAGAATATGCTTGAACATTGGGCACGTCTAACGAAACCAATTGCTACCCAAACACAGCGAACTCTTCTTCGTTGGGATTGGATTGTACAACGTGGAAAAGAACGTAACGTTCGCATTTACCCGATGCACATAATAACAACGTCCATGAGCAAAAAAAAGTATAGTATGAATAAACTTGCATTACTCTGCATAAATAACTGCATAATTGCGTGTATAAATAAAAGTATGGTAATTCCGGTACTGTCAAGTAGAATTGGAAGTACATTCACCATTACGAAATAGACCCTATATTTGAGTTTTTGAAATATAGTATATTGGTATAATGCCGAAAACATAACGAGTAAAGTTAGTATTGCCGTAAACAAGGCCTGCTTTATCACATGAAGTGGAGTGGCTCTTATTCATAAGATATTGGTTGCGTCTTCAGACAACGAAATGGAAGATCTTTTTTGAGAACCTTGCCGTTAAACTAATTAGGAAAAAACCTCCACACAATTACCTCTTTACAGTATCCGGCAGTAATGACCGGATATGATTTGTATTACACAACAAAAAAATTAAATAAGATGTGCCTGCATTCATCGTCGTTGGCCCCACTGAATAACAAGACTTGCAAAAAAAAAATTCGTACTTGAGAGCCAATGGCGTATTTGTATTATGATTAGTATTCATGGTATACATGGCACACGTAAAGTTACACACCATGTTGTAATATGGATCAATAAGCAGTACGCATGAGAAGCGTTCGTCGGTCGTTTTTGTGGACACGACCGCACAGCCTATGGCTGTATTTACGGCACTAACTGTGTAATGGAGGTTAGTTGTAATCTGTATAATTTTAATACACTTTGATATACCCGAAATTATGTCGCGTCACACAATATGCTTATTGCAATTACCATTCAGAGTTAAATATAATTGCACAATGCAAATGTTCATAACGTGTGTCATAATTCGGATTAACAGATTGTCGTAACTGACGGGTTACACAACACGCCCTTGCTTTGTTGGCTTTGTTATCAATATACTAATACTGTAATACAGTAATACTAGATTGTTTGTTTTGTTTGAGACATGGTGATACAAATCCAATATATACTCAATAAAATAACGAGTTGTGATGTTGCTATTGTTTGAGACCTCGATTAAAAATTCTCGATATAATAATAAGGAAGATATGTTGTCATCATCAATTACTTGTATTGCTCGTAAAGAAATGCTTGCATTTGAGTTTATATTAATGTAGATTCTTATTATTTATTGTATACCCGTGTCGTGTGTGTATATTATTTCTTTTGTTATTTATGTTGTGTATGTATAAAATATATATATACCTGTTTCGATTATGTAACATCCTTATGTCACACAAGGCAAGCAACTATAAATAACCGTTTGTAATAAGTCTGAATTGCAATAACGAGTACATTGTTAGACGTTCACTCAGCTGTCGAATTTTCAACCCGAGCAACGCTGTTTATCTCTTATCATTATACTTGCTCAGACATGGCCGGTTTTAATAACCAAGCAGGTCACGGAAGTTATACACATAGCATTCCATCTGAACAGATGCATAGTGTGGGCTCAAGTTATTTAAACAGTTCTCCAAATCAAACACTTATTATGGATTCGGGTTACGCGAATATGGATTCCAATGATACTCATTGCTATCAACCTCCTAGTCAAGTCATTTTTTCTTCTAACCTCAATTCCCTCGACTGTCTCCACGATGGAAATGAACCGGTGAATACCACGCCTTACGAATACGTTGGAAATAATGAAGAGCGAGTTGATTATCCTGGTTTTCCAGCAAACCATGGCACGAATAACTACAGTGAACCCTCTATTCGTCCTCCTCCCACACAAACGTCAAGTCACACACCATATACTCCTACTTTTTTCAACAACGCAAACGTGATGACAAGCGCTACGAGTCATGGATGCATAGTAATTATTATGAAGACAGATGTTAACCTGGAGCAACTGTTATCTATTCTTCAATCATGTGGAATGGTGGAAAGAACATACATGTAACTTGTTTGTTTAAGTTTACAGTATATATTGGACTTCGATGTTAGTAAATTTTGGGATTTATTACTTGTTTTATAAGATGGGCAGTATCTTTTCATATGATATGGCAAATTTAGTGTAGGAATAATAGTACATTTTACGATGGTTATGTTGTGGCACCTTAATCCATTAAGACTTACACTAGTTTTATATGTCAAATTTTTTGATGACGTGACTTGTTTGACAAAGAATCGATATTTAAATCACGGATATACGATCATGAGTTTGTCGTTACTATTACGCTCCGCTCAAAATCAATGAAGGCAGAAGACTATATAGGATGCGATATGATGACTGCAAAGTACATAAAGCCAACAATATCGAATCAGCGAGAAATAAATCACTATAATAATAATAATATCAGGTCCCTACAATTCTACACTTCACATAGCAACATGTAATCCAAAATGCTTTGATGAACAAAATCCACTTTGTTTATTACAAAGAATAAATTCATCCGACCACATACAACAGCTTCACACCCCCCCATAAAGCCGGCTCTGCCTTTGCAAAAACTCATGGACCTAACCCTGCGTTTACGCCGACAGCAAAAATTCCGGTCGTATACCAATACCTCAGTCCAAACAACGAAAAATTATATGTCGGCAAAAAAAAAATTGGTGGAAGCGGTGAAGAAGAAAAGTTACGGCATTTACAACTAAACTGAAAACTGTTAACGATAATCTCTGCAGTAAGACAAGAAGCAAGCATAAAGGAAAAGACACGACAATCGTCGCATTGATAAAATAAAAGTGAAAATCCACACATACGCAAAACGAGTGAAGAGCATGATAATTATCATCATCACGAACTGTTAACGTAGTAAAGATGAAGATGGACTGAAGACTCGAGCGCTTCTCATCGACCCCCAAATTCTCTCCTCCCTTTCCTTTTCAATATACTCCACGAATTTCAAATGTTCTAATTACCTGCACGTCAGCTGAACTTGATACTGTCCAGACTTTCCAATTCTTGGACGCCACCTTTTGTCCAAGTGTTCTACGTCCGCGAACACACTTAATTAATTCAACCCATCAACGTCAAAGAATAAGATTTCTGCATTTTCTTTTTCCCTTGTTTCTGGTGATCACAACAAAATCACCAGCATTACTAGGCCAACAGTTCGGTTGCAGAATCGACTTGCGGGGGGTGATGCTGGAAATAGTATGGGTGATAATGTGGAGAGAAGATTGAGGCTGTGGCGATTGCAGCGGTTGTGGTTGATGCCGTTGACACTGCTGCCGAGTGATAGTAAAACGAATGGTGAGTGAAGGATAAGGAGGGGTGGATAACGCAGTACCGTGATTTGCGTAACACATGATGATTCCCAATCTGTACGTTCCTTCTAGCTGAGCGTAGCCGTTGACAGTGTATGTTGGTAACAAGTATGTGATTATTTAAAAAAAACATCCATTAAAAAAAATTTGGACGGAAGAGATAATACTGAGGGTAAACGATTAACTCGTCAACCCCAATCAAAACGTCATGCAGTTGGTAGCACATACTGTATACAGCCGAACCCCGTTATACCGAGGGTCACCTATAATTCGAACGCTCTCTTTATAACTAAGTCTACCTAAAGTCAAGTAATATTCAGCATAGTGAGGCTTTTATAACTAACGTTTATTAGTCATCATTGCAAATAAATACCAACATACGGGAAGAATAATAATGCGAACTAATCAGTAAAAAAAATCTATTTTACTTGTAAGACTATCATTTTCAGAATAAATATATAATAAAATTAACATAGTCAATTAAATATTAGTTAGATAACTAAACAGAAACCAACACCCAGCAGGAAACAGTAATTAAAATTGTTACTCTCTCCTTTTTTTTCAATGAGCGAAAGACTTTGAGCTCATTAAAATCTATTTCCATGTTGTCTTGAAGAAAATTAAATGCCCGTTTCAAATGCAGTTATGGCATCTTTAATCAAGACAGCGGAAAGACATGGCAAATTACTTTCATTATTGTCTTTTTTGTAGGAGAAAATAAAGCAACAATCTCCTCATCTGTCACCATATTGTTATTTATGACCTTCTCATCAATTGATATAATATTCTGTAGCACTTAATGCAGAATCGATTGATAATCTATCGATCAAGTTCTGAACGGCTTCTTGCTGGGACGCGACAATAACTATTTCTAATTATCTAGGACAGAGCGTATAGTAAATTTAGCAACAAGTAACAAAAGAACATATGCATTGCAAAAACGTTTAATTGATTCAAGGTTTGTCTGCCGAAGAGATTTCAACTCCTGGGATTTTTGAATTGGACTTAGTAAAGGGTATATTGATGCTAAAAACTATGTAGCATCATCTGTTTGGTCGAACATGAAACTGTTTCTGGTTTTATGTACGCACTGACGTGACTACAAAATAGCCGAAATAGTTGGTCTTTGCCACAATAGCAATAGAGCCCAATAAGTGGCTCGAATAATCTGCAGGACCCAAAACCAACAGGTCCCATAACATTTCAGGGAATTACCGAGTCAAGCTACGCGAGTTTATGACGGTCTTTTTTCTGTTTTTTGAGTGAAAAAAGGCAAGATAATCTTCCTAATCTTATATTGTCATAGCGAAAAATGCAGGTAACATATAATGTAACACATTTACTTATTGCTGCAAAGTCACACACAAACAAATCGTATTCATATGTGTTTAATAATATGTAATGTTATTAATTATACTTTATTAAGAATCCAGCCTTATGCGTTTCCAACTCTTCTGGTTTTCTTGTTCAGAATATTTAAACTTGGTTGTATCTTTTTTTATATCGGACTTATAACCAACTGGTATTTTTAATGATAACTGCGCAAGTTGTATTCAAGCACAAACGGCAACAATGCCTATTCGAATTCTAACGCCAATATAATAATTACGAATACATTGTTTTACAATAGTTAACTAGCATAGTTGTGTTAATGATTCGAAAGTTTGTGTTCTCCTTATTGAAAGTAAATGGTAGCATAAATATAGCGCAATTTTATTTGCGCTCAAACGTATGAAAAAAAAATAGGAAGAAATCTTATACGATATAATAAAAAATCATAAGTTGCCAACCCGTTACATAAAAAAAAAAAGAGGAATAAACATAAAGTCTCTCTGCTTTTACCGAATTTACCAATACCACAAGATTCTGTATACAAAAAACGAAGGACAATCGTACAATCTTTCTACTCTCCCACATATTTGAATAATGGACAGTAGTCTGTCTAGACTAGCATCTGCTTTCATAACAAGAATTATACATTCACGACTCGTGGCGTTTGTCATGTCGAAATTATTCGAAAAAGTTAAAGTAGACGATGTTTGAGCTGATGCATATGAGGGACAATAAATTGAGGATGGATTGTAGACTCCTCTGTTTCCGTTGTTTTCGACGTATGCGTAAGGCGGAGTGTTCGACTGTTCATTTCCGCCCGTGTAGATATTATTATTGGTGTCCATAAAAAAAGAAGCTTGGGTGAAAGGCTGGGTAGGCGCTTGAAAGAGCGGAACGGAATAAATGTCGCAAAAGTTGACACCGGCTGCTTGACCCAACGGAATATTACTTGCATCGTTCGAATTCATATTACGAATGTTATCGTTATACGATGGATGATTGTGGGTATAGTAATAGTTAGGATTCATAAGAGGTATTTGATCCGATGGAACATCGTATGGATAATTTTCTTGGTTATTAACACTCGTCATACTGGGAATATTGTGAGTGGACATTTAGCATATATGAATTTTTGCAGTCGTTAGAATTTAGAGAATACGCTGTTCAGTGAGCTATTTATAAGACTTGACGTGATAATGTTTATTTATATAGTCTATACTAGGCAATATAAATAATAAAAATACTAGTCAATATTGTGACACAACGTTAGTTATGTTATCGGCTACATACTTCAGCTGTACAACTTAGTAGTTAGTCTACGCCTTAACAAGTACTATATGTTACAAAGCATTGCTGAATGAATAAAAAAGACAAATATAGGCGCAGTTTTAGTCCGCTAGTCAGTTTCCCAGTTTAAAATACAGATTTATATAATACACGTATATATACATCGATTTAAATACAGCCGCACCTGTCTATTTTGCATACTGTCGGGACCGATAGATTTTTATGCGAAATATCACATGATTTGATACTCAAAATTTTTTTATTATTATGTACTCTCATACACCATTAAGCAATCAACCACGCTTTTAAAAGCAAAATAATCAAGGAATGGCCCAAAAAGAATTAATGAAGTGGTGTATTCCGAGTCTCTGAAACGAAGCCACGTTTGATAATTTTTTACGCCATAGTTTGATCTGGTTGATCTCTCCTTTTATAGTATTTCATATTACGGAACAGAATATGCAAAATGTACGTTATGAAATAGACTGATCGTCAAACAAACAATGGAGTGTTAAATCTTTGGTGTGTCACAGATGACACATCTCGGTGCCGATAATAGATGGATAAGATTTTGATGAAAACATAACAGCATAATTGTTGCCGTATGCACTGTCTAGCCAAGCAACCCTGCATTTACACCTGATAACTAGATACGTCGTGCCAAATTATTACTACGATATTATCGTTGATTCTGTCATTTTTCATATTTACCTTTGGTGTGTGAATTGATTTAATGTAAATGTTTACACATATCTTACATTCAGCTATAAACAGACTTAGACAGAAGCTGAAAATATCATCATTGACATACTTTGTTACATTATACTCGCACAGCGCTTTTCACCAAGCACATTGGACATAACGAACTACATATGCTTATCTGTCCGAACATTCAAACCGAACGTTATTCTAATGTCCAACATGCCCAGTATCATGGACTTGAGTTACTTAAACAATCATTCGCTAAATCAGACCATTGTTGTAAACTGGATTGCGTAAACACGTATAGTATTGACATCGTCATACACTTTCCCTGTCAACTAGTTTACCACTAATCGCACGATACCCAATTTGATATCAACATTGTTTAACATAATTACTCAAGTTCTTATGGGTATGTATATAAATACATACAGCTAAATACATACATCATACACGCAACATACATGCATACATATACATAATACATATACGTACATATAACATAATACATAATACATACACATATATGCATATACATACAGTATGCATTTCTCCTCATTTCCCTCATTAGATATGTAATAAAATTTTGCATAAATGCATACTATGCAGTTGAAACAAAGAGATGTATTGAATAAAATACCCGTGTATAATATTACCATTGCATAATTTTTATCGTTCATTTACAGATCCGTACACCTTTTTATCTATTATCGTAATTGGAGTTTACTTTTTCACCATCCACGTTTTGTTGCCTGTTTCAACAAAAATACATATCAAGTTTGTACATTGTAAAAAGAAAAAAGTAGGAGGTTTCTTATTGACCGTTTTATTACATTCATGTCGACATGTAGGTACATCGTGCTATCTCAATTCGAATGCGTTTCTTTATTTTCTTTTTTCTCGTAAAAAAAATTATCGAGCAAGAGATAATGCAATAATGATACATGAATTGCAAATAGCATGTAATTAAACAAACTATCAATTATACTCTTGTATTAATAAAAAGTTAAAGTTATAGTGTTTTTTTTGTTTAGAGTTATTTATTTGTTTATACAACGCTTAATTACCA